AATTTAAATAGATGCAAGACTTTATTTTTCAACTAATCAGACTCAATTACTCATTCTATTCTAAATATTTTATTCATGAAGTATTTCCTTTTATTTATCGTAAATAAATTAACATTTTTTCTTTATTTTATTCAAGTATTACCCAACTTGGCCCGTGTTTAGTGCGAGATGGGTGTGTGTATTGAGATACTTCGAGGTGACTTTAGTAGGGGTGATCAGATGGTGTAGTTGTCGTGGTAACCATCTTAATCGGTAGTATTAGGATAATTTGGATTGGTTAATTTGGATAATTGGTTTGGTTTGGTTAAATTTTTAGTTTATTTGGTTTAGGTTGTTTGATTTTGTTTAAACACTTCTAACAAATCAAACCAATTAAACAATTAGTCATATATCTAATTTATTATATACTCATAATTAATACTTTGCTTAACCACAAATAACCGCTCAAGAGTCACGAGTTTCTCCCTTTTGGACCAATAACAAAAATAAACCTTATTAATATTCTTATATTAATTTGGACTAGGATCAGCAGGGCGTGCGATCTTGTGGTGCAACCTATGGGAGACATTCACACGATTATTCAATATTGGCCTGATCGTGACCCCGACAGTGTGGAAACTTGGTTCATGTGTTGTATCTTTCATGCTGTCTGTTGGTTCACTTGGCTTGAACGTAATTAGCGGATTTTCAATGGTAGTTGTACCTTGGCTATTGTGGTTACCCGCAAGATCGTTAGAGTTGTTGTAGAATGGATCTGCGCTCATGGGAAGGCTGATAGGAGACTCGGTATTCAATGGTTGAACGAGAATCTCAGGAAGCTTTGACCTCGCTGCTCATGTTGCTGCTGTTCTTTTTATGGGTTTCGAGGGCTCTAGCGTGCATTTCGGGCACAGGTGTTAGTGTTCGGTTGTTAGTGTTTGGTTTGGTTCCATTTTCTCTTTAGTTCAGTAGTGTTTGGGTATGTGTGTCTCTCGTTGGTCTTGTTTTGTTGTTGCCTATTAGTTTTGGGGTTGCAGGAGCCTCCTGTTTGGCTTAGTCCCCTGAGTTTGCTTTGGTCTGTTTCTTTTGTTTTTTCCTTTTGCCCTTGGTTCCTCGCACCTCTCGTGCAGCTGTTTGCTACTCTTCTATTTTTCTTGGCCGTGTAGGAAGCCTGAAACCCACATAATCGGAACGCGGCGTTTTGACCTCACACGGGCAACTGGGTATGCCACACGGCCGTGTGGCCTGCCCGTGTGAGTCGGGAATTTCTGGTTTTTACCCAATTTCGGGCTGCAAGTGAGGGAATCGGATTTTCAGAGCAAAAACAGAGCCCTAGAGAGAGAAAGTACAAAGAATACATCCTAGAAGCCATCTTGGAGCTGGGTTTCATCAAATCGAGCTTGGAGATCGTCATAGGAGTGGAAATCATCATCCCAGAGCAGATTCTTCCCATTGTTATGAGTATGACTGCTTTGTATTATGTTTTCCTCTCTCTCTCTCTCTCTCTATGGAGTAGAACCCTTCTCTCACTTGGGTATGAAGAACCCTAGTTCCATGTTAGGGATTTGATTGTAATGACTTGGGATGATTATACTGTTTGGTTTTAATCGAATGATGCATGTTTATTGAATTGATTGAAGTCTGATCAGCTTTTCTTGATTTCTGCTGCAACCTGAGATAGATAGAATCTGATTAGGTTGTTAGAGCTTCATCATTCGGTAGTAGGAGATTGGCTATACTAGAGTTAGCCAGTTTAATGCTTTGTACTGGAATCCAATTCCAGTAGTGGAGTTCTGTGCTTATTGCTTCACTTTCTATCCCGGTGAAGACTAGTCGTCTGCCGGGTAGTTAGACTGAGAGGGCTTGGTCAGCTTAAGAGATTCCAAGCTACTGTCGGATCTTCCGCAGTCTAATCAACAGTAAATCAACCCAGGGTAATTACAATTGAGACCTAACTAAGGAGCTAGGGGGACTCATTCCCGAGTGACTCTTCTTTGCTTTAGAAACCGAACCAATTCCTGCTTTCTTACTGCTTTTGCTTTAAACCACAATCACTTAAATTAGTTGGCTAGATAATAGATAATCGCGGAGTAAGCAGTAGATCTAGACCCCGGGTTGATAATAGAACTTGCCACTTTACTGCATTCCCGAACTGCGATTACACTTGGTCGTAGTTTGGTGTTGTGTTTTGGCGTGTCATTGGCAATTAGAGGAATCGCGACCACTCCATCTTGTCATCTTAGTTAGACATTTGGCGACTAAGTCCTGGTCGCAATAAATAAGAGTTGGCGACCAAAATGCATCTGTCGCAGAATAGGTAACAATTGGCGACCATGAAAATGGTCGCCGTAAATCTTTTAGGCGACCAATATGAAATGGCCGCGCAAACTCAAGTTTTCCACGACCAGATATAATGGTCATAAAAAATTTATTTACGGCGAACACTTTGAGAAAGTGGTCGCATTAGCTTTTGCCGACAATTATATACGACCAGGTTGGCGACGATTAATTATGGTCGCAAAATACTTTGGCGACCACGTTTCTGGATATGGCGACCACTTTCCATGGTCACGAAATACCTTTTTTGTTGTAGTGATTGGAGGTTAAATTGTATCATTTTTTTCTTTGGTTTGCAAAATGCTCCTATTTTCCAATTTTTCTTTTCTCCTAACTCAATCTTTGGAATCCTTAGCTGAATATTTGAATATTCATGTTATATAAGTGTGTGTGAATTTTTCAATATATGTTGGATTTAAGTACGACCTGTTACTTTGGTGTAATGCTATATGTTATTACTCGTATGTTGATATGATCCAAATTGGCCACTTCTACAAGTCACAATTACTTGCCAAAGAAGCTATCAAGGTTGGAAAGAAGAAGGGCAGAATTTGGCCAAGTCAAAATCCGTGTTCAGGGTACATATTTTGGAGGCATGGTTCTCTCAATTGGCTTGGTGGAAATTCAATTTTAAGGGTTTTTTTTGCAGATAAAGTTTTCCTCTTTCCAATGGTACGCTCTGTGGATTCAGATGATGTCATTAAGGTTGTTTTCCAAGGCCTCAAAGTTGCTACCTCAAAACTGGAAAACTGCCAGAAAATGGTTTAAGTCTGGAAACTGTTTTGTGAAGCCTACTTTGGAGCTTAATTCGAGGAGTATGGATCTTCTTCAAGTCCAAAGGCTTCCACAACATAAGACTAGGTATGTTTATGTACAAAGGGAAGGAATTGGATGAAGGATTGGAGTTCGGGAAGGCTTTGAACAAATGGCGCAAAGTTAGTACGAAAGCTGTCTTTTGACTGTTAGCTGGCAGCTTGCTTATGCTTCAAGAAAGAGAGTTTAAATCCGAATTTTGTGTCCTTTTTAGAGTAGATTTTTACCTTAATTGTTTCCTAGTTCTATTAGGGTTGTATTAGGTTTATTTGCCTTTAAATACCTTTCTACTTTCGTTGTAAAACTCAGACTTTGTTGAATAGAAATCGAAACCGTTTGGTTTGTGCAAGTTGCGACTTGTTTTGGGTTTGGTGGATTCCAAACTTGCTGAGCTTGTGTATCGATTGAATAGTCACTTCAATCGTGGTCGAGCAACTACCCTTTTATACCAATCGAGCTATCCCCAGGTGTGGATTTGTCCTTTTGGTGCCGTTCTATCCAAGTTCGTATTAAGAACGCTTTGTTCTTAATTCGAGCTCAATCGATTCTTCGATTGAGTCGTTTGCTGCGTTACTTTGATAATATACACCCCCAGGGGCGTATTAAGATCCAAATCCGAAGAGAATCCTCGAACTCGGATTATATGACCAAAGTACGCAGCCTTCCTTCTTTTTAAGGATTTTCGAAGCTTTTCTCCAACTTGAAATAAAAGATAGATGCGGAATCAATCGGACAATCCCAACTGGTGACAAAGGGCAATTGGTATATTAAACCAATCGGACAGAATCAACTCGTGGAAAGGGGCAATTGATATAGGGTAGATGCTCGCCACAACTAGACGCGTTCTCTAGTTGATAAGAGACACGTACAATCTCCTGGAATCCTCGACAGAAGTCTTGCACAAAAGAACTCGTTCACAATGAACTAGAACTCAACTTTGATTAATAACTTGGATAATGGGTACCAAATTCGTAGCTCTTACATCCTCTATTTATAGAGGTCATGAAACATAAATCTAACCTAAAAGGAATAGGAAAACAAATCCCAAACTAACTAGGAAACATAATACTACTTAAATAAGGACTATAACTCGTTTTTATGACCAAAGGAAGCTCCTTAGCAGCTAAGTAATCTCCAAACACGTTTCCAATGCTTAAGGAAGCTCCTTAGTGGTTAAGCAATCTCTTTCCTTGCCCTTTTCACATTTGGACGACTTGGGAAGCAAGGATGGACGTTTTGGGCTCCAAAAAATGTTGTAGACCCGATCCTTAATGCATTCTCCATTTTATCCATCAAGAATGCTCCTAGTTGATCCTTAAATCGTCGAATTCGAATCTTCATTTTTGGACCACGGGAATTATATATCGTGCTAGTCGATATCGCATCATATGTTAGATGAGATTTGATATAATTTATTAGGATAAGTACAATATAATGACTCTTTTCATATTTCTGGGCTAAAACGGGTGACCCGTTAACCCTTGACCCAATAGCTCGATCAGGTCCGGGTCAACCCGCAGGTTGACAACCTTGCTCATCAAAGAGCGAAGCTATTCAAAATAATACAAAAATATTAAAATAAAAATACACCTTTTATTTTTTAATTTTTTATTATTGCACTAACACAAGAGACATTATTTGAGATAAATAAAATCACTCAAACTAAAATCTAAAAAAATAATTTCAAAGTTATTTTCAAAATAAATGAATAAATTATGAAAAAATAAACATGCATTCTAATGTGTATGATACTTCTCAATATTTCGATACCTAGAAAAAAAAATATTTGAGCTTGAAAATAGAGTGAGAAAGTTCTCCCAAATTTTCTGGCGATCCTGGTTTCCGTTTAGGGCTGGGCTGGTCGTGCCGACATCTAAGCCGGTGCTTTTTCTTCTTCGATCTATCCTTAGTCTGTCTGTTTCTTTAGTCCAATGAGTGCAATTCCATCATTGGCGAGTGATGCCGCTTCGTCGACTGCTTCGGGGGTTCCAGTTAAACCGTGGGCAGATCTGTTCGTCATCTCTGAAGCAAATAGGCTTTGCTATATGAAGTGGGAGGTTTATAAGGGAGGGGTCAGGGTGCCGAAGGAAGTCAGTGAGGATGGTGCGGCTTGGTGGAAATTCAGTCTCGTAGGGCAATTTCTTCATCCTTTCCTGGCACTCTCGGAACTACGAAGGTGGGCGAATCGGATGTGGGGTCAGGATGGTCCGGTGCGCGTTTCTCACCTCACCTTGGGGATCAACTGCTTCTTATTCAACTTCCGTCTTAGGCCACTTGCGACTGGATTTTGGAGAGTGGCCCCTGGTTCTACCATGATAATTTGTTGTATCTTTGCCCTTGGATACCTGGGATTGATGTTGAAGATTTGGGTTGTAAAGCTCTGCCGATCTGGGTAAGATTCTCGAACCTTCCCCTTGAGTATGTGAACTTTAGGGGATTGAGTAAGACTGCTAGTTGGCTGGGAATTCCTCTGGTTGTTGATCAAACCACTAGGGTGGGTGGACGGCTGGGTTTTTCTAAGATTCTTGTTGAGCTTCAAGTTGACGGTGAATTCCCCGACCATGTACTGATCTGGCCAACTTACGATTACTCAATTCAGGTAGGGGTGATATATAGTCATCTTCCTCCGGTTTTTCAGACGTGCAAGACATTTGGACTTGATTGTGGTTGCATAAGGGAGGGTAAGGTATGGGTTCCAAAGGTTGTGGTTTCTGATCCGGTTGAGTTGATTACGCCAACAAAGACTATCTTAGCTAAAGGCAAGGAAATTGTGGTGAATGAGACTAAGGTTTCTAATTGTCGGACTACTGATGTGTTGATTGCTACTAATAGTGTTGAGGTGCCTACAACAAGTGCCATGAATTGTACTCAGGGTGTAAATCTAGAGTCATCCTTTCAACTGGTTTCTGACTCTATGTCAACCAGAATTCCATCGGATTTGGAATTTCAAAAGGTTGTAGATGGGGCCAAACTAGGATGGTCTCCCTTGAATAGTCCTACAAGTGTTCTTTCTACTTCACAATCTTTTGTTGCGTTGGAAGGTCTGTCTGAGGACAGGGTAGCTCAATTCCAAGGTGCTCCTAAAAAAGGTGGGAAGAAATCGGGGCTACAACTGCCCTCTTCTCCCCCATGATTATGCTCTTCTGGAATGTTAGAGGGTTTAACAAACCCTCTAAGAGGAAGGACCTATTCTCGGTTCTTCGTAAATATAGAGTAGACGTGGTGGCTGTTATTGAGACAAGGGTTAGGAAAATAAAAGCTGAGGAGGTAGTGTCTGATTTTTGTTAGGACTGGAATAAACATCTGAATTATGTGGACTCTGAGTTAGGGCGAGTATGGTTGTTCTGGGATCCAGAAGTGGTGGATGTAAGAATTTTGCTCCCCAAGAAGAACTTTGTACATTGCTTGGCTACATCGATTAGTGGGGAGTCGTTATTTTTTACTGCAGTTTATGGTTCCAATGATGAGATGGAGAGGAGACAGACTTACCGAGAATTGATTCAAACAAAGATTAGTAGAGCTCCATGGCTAGTGGGAGGGGATTTCAATACTGTCCTGAACCTAAGGAAACTTCCAATATTAGAGACAGAACAGGGTGTATGGACGATTTTAGTAACTGGGTGCCTGTTATGGATTTATTTAATCACAGAGCGGTAGGGCCTCAATTTACATGGTCAAATAGACAGGTAAACAACACTATTGCTAAAAAGTTTGATAGAGCATTGGTCAATGAGAGTTGGCTCTACAAGTTTCCTGACTGCAGAGTGGACTTATTAACAGCTCCTTTTTCTGACCATTGTGGAATACTGGTAGCAACAAAACCTTATAAGAAATACCTTCCAATGCCTTTCAAGTACTTTGAGTTTTGGGCATAATATCCTCAATTTTTCCCTTTGGTTCAAAAAGCTTGAGAGCTGGTAGTTCAAGGGGCTCCTATTATGGGGGTGAAGGCGAGATTGAATGAGGCCAAGAAGTTGTTAAAGAGGTTCAATAAAGAAGTATATGGGGATCTGAGTGGTCAGTTGAAGGATATGGAAGTTCAGCTTCATTCGGCGCAAATAAGTGCCTTGGATGATCCTGGTGAACAAGCTTTTAAGGAGGTTGCTACTCTGGAAGCAAAGTTGATTGAATTAAAGAAGGTCGAGGAAAGCATGTACAAACATAAATCACGTATTGACTAGATTGCTCTGGGGAATGCAGTACTAGATTCTTTCATCTAGCTGTGAAAATTCGTAATGCCAAGAAGGCTATAAGGAAGTTGGTGACTGAATCTGGTGAGGAATTCTTTGATAGTGAAAAAATTGCAGCTGAAGTAGTACAATTTTATTCTTCATCATTTGGCAAGGTAGACTCACAAGTGCGCCCAAATAGAGGTTGATTGATGAAGAAAGTGACTTTCTATGTCTTCCCTTCACTGCTGCTGATGTGCTAAATGTGATTGAAAACATGGATCCTCATAAAGCCCAGGCCCATATGGGTTTTCAGCGGGTTTCTACAGGAGAACCTGGTCTATTATTGGAGGGGATGTCACACATTCAGGGAGACTTCCAGGTAGTGTGAATTCTGCTGCTATCACTCTATTGCCTAAAATTCCATCAACATGTGCTCTTAAGGATTTCAGGCCTATCTCTTGCATTAATCTCCTTTACAAAGGTTCTCCCTTCGGTTATTAGTGGTAATCAATATGCATTTATTGAGGGTAGGAAAATTGTTGAAAATATTCTTATGTCCCAAGAATTGGTTAGTGGATATCATAAAAGACAGTTGTCATCTCGTTGTGCTATTAAAGTAGATTTGATGAAGGCGTTTGACTCGGTAAATTGGGAATATATGTTCTTAATGATGTCTGTCATGAGGTTCCCAGTTGGTTTCATTAGATGGATTTCATTGTGTGTAAAAACAACTCATTTTAGCATATGTGTGAATGGTGGATTATGTGGTTATTTTGGGGCTAAGAGTGGGGTTAGACAGGGTATCCCTTGTCACCTTATCTGTTTACCATCTCCATGGAGGGATTAACTATTATTCTTGATGCTGCTGCTCAATCTGGTCTGATCCCCTACCATCCACAGTGGAAGAGGGTTAAATTAACACATCTTAGCTTTACTGACGATCTTTTAATCTTCACTGAGGGGTGTGGAAGGGTTATTGTTGGTGTGCAGAATCTCCTTCATGAGTTTTATGAGTTGTAAGGACTTTAGTGCAACCCTCAAAAGTGTGAGGTATATTTTTTTTTGGGGGGGGGGGGGGGGGGGGGGGGGGTTCTATTGATTTCAAGCATCACGCCATTGCGGTATCTGGTTTTCAGGAGGGTAAGCTTCCAGTTCGTTATTTGGGGCTCCCTCCCCTATATGGCAAGCTCTCTTCTGATGATTGTGACAGGCTGGTGGAAAGAATCCCTCAGAAAATTAAAAGCTAGAAGGTCAAAAAACTCAGTTATGCGGGCAGGTTACAACTTATCTCCTCTGTTTTTATGGGTGTACAACAGTACTGGATGCAAGTATTCTTATTGCCCAAAAAGGTGCTTAAGCAGGTGCATAATGTGTGTTCTAATTTCTTATGGCACGGTGGTGAAGAGGGGCGAGCTAAGGTTGCTTGGGACAGGATAGCGAGGCATTGTGATGAAGGTGGGGTAGGTCTTAAGGAACTGTTTTCCTTGAATCAGGCTTGTACTACCAGGATGATTTGGTTACTGCTTATGCAAAGCGGGACTATCTGGGTGGCCTGGATTACACAGTATCGGATCAAAGCAGGTAGTATTTGGACAATAGGATCCACATCTAGTAGTTCTTTGGCTTAGAGACGTATTCTTAAAGTTCGTTCAGAGGTTCAAGGGCACTTCTCAGGACAGGGACCTTCGTTATGCTGTGATGGCTCTCCTATGCAAAGATATTCTGTTGGTTTGGTGTGGGATTCTATTAGGATGAGGTGGCCAAAAGTGGATTGGAATAAGTTGATATGGGGAAAAAGGTTTCTGCCTAGACCTAGTTTCCTAGCTTGATTAATTCTCCAGGATAGTATTGTCACGAGGGATAAATTGATAAAATGGGGAAAGCAGGTTGATAATGCCTGTGTTATGTGTTGCAGCCTGCCTGAATCACGAGTACATCTATTTTTTCAAAGTTCTTTCTCCCAGGAGCTGCGGGTTTCTCTCCATTGTGAGGATTGGTTTAGCAGTGGTGATTGGTCTAGCACCTTATCAGCAGCATGCCAACTAAGTCGAAAGAACACATATGCAGGACGAATGGAGGGATGGCTATGGTGTTTATGTGATGCAAATGTCTGGAAGGAGCGTTGTAAACAGATACATGGGGATGCTAGTCGAAGTGTAGCAATGATGGGCAACTTGATTCTGCAAGATTTGCAGTTTATGAGTGTGTTTAACTGCAATGTGAAGAGTGATATGCAGGTGTTAGGAGTTGGTCGCTAAAATTGTTAGTGGTGTCGTAGTGTTGTGGTGAATGAGAGGGTTCTGTCCCCTCATTTTGCTTTACTTAGGATTTTTCACACTTCGTTGTATCAGACTCTTTCTATTTTTTTTTTGTTAAGGAGAATAACTGATTCAACGGAAAAAAATGAATGTTAGTAAAAGTTTTGTTGGAAAAAGTAATTAATCATAAAAATATGAATCCCTAAAAATATGGATTTAAAATTTGATAATCTTAATCAAGATACAACTGTGAAAGTTAAAGACTTATAAAACAAAGTATGGAAACTAAATGATTCACCATGATCTTTGATCAAATGAAACTAAATGAAAAAATGTGCCAATTTGCCAACTCAAACTCGCATCGTTTATTGAGTAATGAGACCGTTATGACTTTTCTACTAGACTACCCCAATTTTTTTCATAATATTGCTAACAACATTTATTTTTACATAACCCATAGTTTTTTTTTGGTGAAACATAACCCATAGTTGATACATAAATTTCCAAACTCCTACATGATTTTTTATGTCATTTCAAACTTTTGGGATGATTCAAGCATAATTATACATATCTTGTCCTTCATTTCATCTCGTTTGACTTATTATTTAGTGTTCGTTAGCCTATATTATACTAGATTTTGCTTTGTTTGTCACATTTCAGATACTATGATGTAAATATGATGGAGGAACAAGTTTCGGGATGTTTGAAAAAAAAAAGAGTGGAAATGCAAGAAAGTGCATAAGTCACGACTTGAAGGTAGATCTCACAGCCAGGCGGTGACAATGATACCCAAACCGTGAGGGAAGGAGGAGAAATCCCATTTCACGGTATTTTTGTTGATGTCACGGCCATGCCTTGACAACTTAAATGAAAATCTTGAGTTTTGTACAAGAAATAGGAGCTGAAATGCGTCTCACGAGCTTCGGCAGTTGTCACGACCTTTGCCGTGAGATATGGAAAGTAGCTATGAGATGTGCACACAAACGACAACATCTTTGATTGGGTTATCGAACATATGTTAATTCTCACGATTGTGAAATCTGGTTATGAAATGTGCTTTGGGCGCTATATAAAAGATGCAACAATAAATTTTGAAAGGGGAGAGCTGAATTTTCACCTAAAAATACCCGGTATACAATTCTAAAGAGAGGTGTCTCGAAGGGTTCTTGGAGCTAAATCGAAGACGACAACATTTATCTTGATAGAATCAATGAACGATGCAAATTTATCTTGGCTGTATATTAACCATAGATATCCAGCCTGTGCATCTTTTTGTCATTTTCTCTACGTTGGAAAAGAGTCCACGAGACTTGGAACAGAACATTATCAGTTTCTTCGAAAAGAATGTCAAAATTTAGTCAATTTTGTCGTATGGCTATATACTTGGCGTTATTTTTAAAATCTACCTGCTCTGGTTTAATTATCTTTTTTTTACTAATCTGGTTTAGTTATCTAATTCACTTAGATAAGATCTAAGCAAGGAATGGTAGTCCTTTGATGTACTCCTAGTGTTGTATCCGGTCCGTTGGCCGGTTTTGTAATCATTTGGGTATTTTTTTAGTTAAATGTAGGTGGTTCGATTTTTAGTATTGTGCACTGGTGGTACAAAAGCGTTTTTTATAGTTTATGCATTTTAGTGCCCGTTAACTTTATAATTTTATTGAATTTGTATTTCATTTTATACTTAACTATAAGAAGTTTAAGTTAGATAACGAATGAAATGAAAAGCTATCTGGAATTATATTTATGCCTTGAGATATTAAACATCACTGAATAAAAAAAAAAATCAACAAAAATCTCTATCTTCATTATATGTGAATAATTAGCTTGCGAATGAAGCTTTGAAAATTTTATTACTATTTAAATTTACATATTGTTGATTTTCATCTATTGAATTAAAAAGGAAATAATGTACATAATATTACTATAGATATATTACATTTAAATAGTTTAAATATACAAAAATTCGAGGAGAAAAAAATGTGATATGAAAATAGATTATTTGGACAATTATGTAAAGCAAATCCAAAAATATCAGTATAGATGTATTAAAATTTATATTTTTGAAAGAGTCAAAAATGAAAAATATAAGGAAAAGAATATTTTGACTTGAAATGGCCTTTGTAAGTTAAACTTAACCTTTAACAATATGCTCATATTTTTAAATATTTTATTGACTATATACTATATTTTCAAAAGCGGAGCGGTTGTCGGATGAAAAATTTCAATGACTCGTGATTAATGATTTATCATTATACAACTATTTTCATTGGACCATATTTTCCGTTTAATAATTTTCTAATAAAACCTATCTCAACTTTAAGCAATTACATGGAGTAAAAAAATTGATTTTTTTGTTTGATCTAATTCGACACAAATATCGAGTCGATATGATATGGATGGAATTATTGTTTAACCTATGACTAAACATGCGATCTTACCTTTCAAAATTTAATGTAAAAATTAGAGATGCTAGTTTGAAAATTAAAGGAATTAAAACAACACAAATTGATTGTATTTTGCCAAGATTTCATGTTTTTCTTCTTCTTCTTCATGTTTGCCGAAATCACTTTGAGATTAAGATTCTAAAACTTTTGAAGGTTGATGCTTGGTTTATCTGTTTAACGTAAAATCCTAATGCGAAAAAGTCTATTCTGAAGGAACCTCTTCCCAAACATCCACACCACAACGATATATCATCTTTATCATCTCAAAATCCAATTCGCAAGCATGATCTCATTTAGGAATTAAACAACTTTAGATAGCCTCTATTTTTTCCTTAACCACACAAAATAAATCTACACATAGCAAAATTCAAATAATTATTATGTAGCATTTACCTTAAAAAAATCTTCTTTTCTCTTAATCCTAATCGCATTTACTAAAAAGAAAAACAAAAGTCCAATAATAATGAGTACCCTTGAGTGTTTGAAAAATTGTCAAAGTTGTCCTTCCACCAAATAAGGAGAACCAATCAAAGTGCAAGGTGGCAACAATGACATAGAGTGAAGTGCATAATATATTGTGAAGAATGAAATGAAAAGCTATCTGGAATTATATTTATGCCTTGAGATATTAAACATCACTGAATAAAAAAATCAACAAAAATCTCTATCTTCGTTATATGTGAATAATTAGCTTGCAAATGAAGCTTTGAAAATTTTATTACTATTTTAATTTAAATATTGTTGATTTTCATTTATATAATTAAAAAGAAAATAATGTACATAATATTACTATAGATGTAATACATTTAAATAGTTTAAAGATACAAAAATTCGAGGAGAAAAAAATGTGATATGAAAATAGATTATTTGGACAATTATGTAAAGAAAATCCAAAATATTAGTATAGATGTTTTAAATTTATATTTTCGAAAGAGACAAAAATGAAAAATATTAGCAAAATTATATTATGACTTGAAATGACCTTTGTAAGTTATTCAATCATTTAAACTTTAATTATCATAATTCAAACTTAACCTTTAACAATATGCTCATATTTTTAAATATTTTATTGACTATATCCTATATTTTCAAAAGCGGAGCGGTTGTCGGATGAAAAATTTCAATGACTCATGATTAATGGTTTATCATTATACAACTATTTCCATTGGACCATATTTTCCGTTTAATAATTTTCTAATAAAACCTATCTTGACTTTAAGCAATTACATGGATAAAAAAATGATTTTTTTGTTTGATCTAATTCGACACAAATATCGAGTCGATACGATATGGATGGAATTATTGTTTACCTATGACTAAACATGCAATCTTACCTTTCAAAATTTAATGTAAAAATTAGACATGCTAATTTGACAATTAAAAGAATTAAAAACAACATAAATTGATTGTATTTTGCCAAGATTTCACGTTTTTCTTCCTCTTCTTCAGGTTTGCCGAAATCACTGTGAGATTAAGATTCTAAAACTATTGAAGGTTGATGCTTGGTTTATCTGTTTAACGTAAAATCCTAATGCGAAAAAGTCTATTCTGAAGGTACCTCTTCCAAACATCCACACCACAACGATATATCATCTTTATCATCTCAAAATCCAATTCGCAAGCATGATCTCATTTAGGAGTTAAACAACTTTAGATAGCCTCTGTTTTTTCCTTAACCACACAAAATAAATCTACACATAGCAAAATTCAAATAATTATTATGTTGCATTTACCTTAAAACAAATCTTCTTTTCCCTTAATCCTAATCGCATTTACTAAAAAGAAAACCAAAAGTTCAATAATAATGAGTACCCTTGTGTTTGAAAAATTGTCAAAGTTGTCCTTCCATCAAATAAAGAGAATCAATCAAAGTGCAAGGTGACAACAATGACATAGAGTGAAGTGCATAATAGATTGTGTAGATAGACGTAGATATTAATAATTAATGTTTGGTTTTAGTCCTATTGCATGCTTTGTTTACATACAATGTCTACAACCAACGAAACATAGTTAAGTTCGCATAGTATTCTTTCATTCAAAACTCTCGAATAAGACAGTAAATTAACTAAGCATCGACTTGTGTTGCTAAGATGATACATAGTTATTGTGGATCATGGTAATTATTGTACTTTTGTTTCCAAACGAGTAATCATTTGTATGTGGATCCAATAATGAAGCAAAGTATTAATCAAATTATTGGCTTGGTTTGTGTCCAGAAAACAAAAAACATAAAGACAATTATTGGTCAGGCCATAAATCTCTATGTATTTATTCAAGATTACTCAATCATTCAGGGAATGCATTAGCATGTTACTAGCTTTTCAGTAGCTACGCTGGCTACCTATTGTCAAGAACCAGTTGGTCCCAATAACTCGAGTTGTTGGGAGAGGTTCAATCGTGGATCATATACCGTTTGCTAACACCCCCCTTCAAACTCAAGCCATTCAGATAGGCTTGGAGTTTGGACAGGCACAGGTCCGGACACCGTGTGTTTAACAGAAACAGATGGGGGTCACCAGGAATCGAACAGAAGACCTCACGGTGAGCAGGGAAGGCCTTCGTGAGGAGATCGGCAAGCTGATCAGTGGTGCGAACATAGTGTAACTGAATAGTACCATCTTGAACCAGATCACGGACGTAATGAACATGGACTTCAATGTGTTTAGTCCGATCATAAGAACGGGATTAACAGCAATGCGAACAGCACTTGTGTTATC